AGTCACAGGTGTGTAGCTGTAACAGGTTTGCAACATCCAACTGGGTGAAAAGTGCTTTGGGGTCTTAGCAGCTGACGTGGCTTCATCTGTGGGCAGCAGTGCCCACGAGAGTCGACACATACATGTGTGCACACATACCTGAATTCACACAGATAGCAGCTACCCATCACACTCCTTCCGGAGGGGAGCCCAGAATCAATACTGGAGCTGCAGGCACCAACTGGAGACTGGGGTGGGCTGTGGGGTGATAGGAGGTAAACTGAGCCAGGGCTAGGGGTGTCACAGGGCTGTGAGTGGGAAAGCACTGGGAGCCTGAGCTGTGGCTCTGGCTGGGATCCTGGGCCGTGACTCTGGCTGGGAGCCTTGGGGAGAGGAGGGAAGGGAGCACAGGGATGGAGAAGCATCTCGAAGCATGGCACCTGTGATCTGACCTCCCTGTTCCTCACCCAACAGGAGAGTACTGGGTTGACCCCAACCAGGGCTGCGCTCGGGATGCCTTCCGGGTGTTCTGCAACTTTACAGCAGGAGGGGAGACTTGTGTTACACCTAGGGATGACATCACACAGGTACGAGCTGATTGGTCCTCAGTCTGCCACCCTTGCCCATCCTGACCCTTCGTTCCTTTTTGTGTGACCTTTGATGCTTTCTTTGTCTTCTTTTCTGGAATCCCAAGACTGAAGTTTGTTGTTCCTTACCCCGTCTGTGGCTGCTTTCCAGAACCCCTCAGTGTCTAGTGTTTCCACTGACCCTTACCCTATCTGTGGCTGCTCGCTGGAGCCCATGGTGCCTCCCCTGACCCTTACCATATCTGTGGCTGCTAGCTGGAGCCTTGACTCTTCTTTCTCCCCAGTTCTCCTATGTGGACTCTGAGGGCTCCCCAGTGGGAGTGGTCCAGCTCACCTTCCTGCGGCTGCTCAGCGTCTCTGCCCACCAGGATGTCTCTTACCCTTGCTCTGTAGTATCCCAGGATGGCCCCCTGAGACTCCGGGGGGCCAATGAGGATGAACTGAGCCCCGAGACCAGCCCCTATGTCAAGGAGTTCAGGGATGGCTGTCAGGTGGGAATCAGAGATACTGGGTGGGAGGCAGGTCCCCGATTTGGGCTACTGGAAGGAGATGGGGAGAGCATTCGGTGGGATGCCTAGGGAAAGTAGGGAGGAGCCCGCTTCCAGGTGTCAGTTGTGCCTGAGGGGTGGGAGCTTAAAGGGCTAAGGGGGGGGGAGTGGGCGTTGAACTTGTGTGAGCCATCTCGGTGGCCTCGTGTGTGTACACACACCAGCGTTGATGCAGTTACACAAGTTCATGGATTTGTGGACCTTCAGATGCCTGGCAGAGGCACATGGAGGGCACACACATAAGTATACCTAGTCCATACATCCAGAACCATCCGGGTGTGGTCAGGATTCTCAGGAGAGGCGAGCCTGGGGCTGGGTTTGGGTCCATTGCTTCTCCCCCATGCTCATAGCTCTCCTTCCCTGCCTCTCTGTCTAGACCCAGCAAGGCCGGACAGTATTGGAGGTGCGCACACCGGTGTTGGAGCAGCTGCCCGTGCGGGATGCCTCCTTCTCAGACCTGGGGTCCCCCACAAGGCGGGGAGGCGTGCTTCTGGGGCCTGTCTGCTTTATGGGCTAAGCCCTTTCTGACCCTGTCAACCAAAAGCAGACCCGCCTGGAGTCACACAGCATGAATTTCACGCCACCTCCCATGAAAACCCCTTGTCATCTAGGGGACTTTGGGCCAGGGCACCTCAAGCCTCAAGTCAGGGGCAACAGCCAGGGGTGGGGTGAACCAGGGGGTGCTGGGACAGCCCAGTGGAAGGGTGGGCACCCATTAGAGAGCTGAGACTTTTATTTAAAACAGTTCCCTGTCCCTCCAAATAAGTGGAAGAGAAAGGACACTGTGTATTTTGTATTTAAAAAAGTAATTATATTAATTATTTAAAGAGAGGAAAAAAAGTAACAAAGAAGATAAAGAAAGAAATGCCCGAAACTCCAGCAGATACTGGGGACAGGTGCTGCAAGGGTGGGCCAGCACCCCACTCTCCCCTCAGGGTTTTCCTTAGTGCCCGTGGGTGTGGCTTTCTGGGATGAATCCCCTTTCTCACATCCACGGGATGCTAAGAACGCTGGAACACACACACTCCCCTGCCTCAGGGCTCCAGCTCTCGCTCCCCAGGAAGGAAGTTCTGTGACACACTGTCCCTGTCAGGAATGGCCTGCCACTTAAGACCAGGCCCCTTCTCGGGGGACACCAGACCAGAGGGCTGTGCGGGGCCTGCCTTGGGCAGGTTATTGAGATACTGAAGTTCTCCCAGTGGCTGAAGTCGCCAGGGCTCTGGGCACTGTCCTGACCGCACAGTTTCTTCCCTGGGCACCTCCTCTCCTCCCTGATGCTGAAGAGAGCTAATGTCTAGCCTATGCCAGAAGGGGCTCCCAGGAGCCCACTAGCCCTGCGTCCAAGCCCCTCCTGACTGACGGTTAAATAATGTGATTGTCTCCTCCCGGGTGTGTGTTGGTGCTTGCGTTGTTATTTCAGCCTCCCCAGGTTCCTACAGCACTCCTGTTCCCCCAAAAGGCTGGCTTCGTCCTACACACAGGAGTCCCCAGCGGGTCCCGGGGCTTACACAGCCTGGGTGTCAAGAACAGATCCCCAAATGGATGCTCCCAGTGACATCATACCCAGGGCCCTGATCCAGTACAGGGCTGCCACTGGTTATGTGAGCTTTGCCTCCCCATCTGCCCACAAATACAGTTGCCCTTCGGTCTTCAAAGTTAGAAGAAACTCTGGGTGGTTCTGTGCAAGGGGTAACTATGCCTACTTCCAGATGTCAATTTCTGCACCTTTCCAAGACATGCTGTAACCCCCAGGCTTGCCATGTTCTGTGGTCCAAAGCCAAAACTGAAGTCAGGTCTCTTACATGTACATGTTTTCACATATTCACACAAAAAGCATCTTTATTCTGTACGGTTCCGTGTATGTATACAGTTTCTCTGCCTGGGGACTGCTGACCTCCTTCCTCCCCAAGATGCCCTTCTCTGGGCTTGTTCAGTAGCTCAGGTCTGCTCTGGTTAGGAGATCCTTGGGTGCTGGGCACCCCTAGGGGACCTCCTGCTCTCCTGGGGCTTCCCATCCTCACACAGCATTGCTTGCTCTTGTCTGTCAATTGGAGGTTGAGAGTTACCCCAGGGTCTTACCCAATTGGGATGCCCTCCTTACTGAGGGAGGGAGACCGCAGGTGTTTGTCCAGTCCATCTGTGACCTGTGGATGGGGTGGCTGAATGTTGCTCATTTGCACCCAACACTCACGTCATCCCCACCCCCATTGTCAACACTTCCCTGTGGTGAGTCCCAGTCTGCACCACCAGGACAGTTTTTGCTGGAGGGCAAAACCATGGAACTTTGGACCCCAACCATTTTTGATGCTAGGAGCCCCCCGACCCCTGTGCAGGTGCAAACTCATGGAGATAAAGAGTTCACCGCAGGTGTAGACTCAGCATAGGGGGAGAATTTAGTGCAGGTGGACACCCCAGTGCAGGTGGAAACTCAGTGCAGGTGGAGATTCAATGCAGGTGCAGAGCCAGTGAAGGTGGAGACCCTAGTGAGGGGCAGAGTCAGGGTAGGTGCAGACTCAACACAGATGGAGATGGTTGCAGTGGAGGGCACAGTGCAGGTGGAGCCAGTGCAGGCACAGACAGTGCAGGTGGAACCAGTGCAGGCACAGACAGTGCAGGTGGAGACAGTGCAGGTGCAGACA